CAATAACCACGCCCGCCACGCATCATCAGCATCCTTTGCTTCAGGGTCTTTTTGGAAAGCTTCCGAAAGCCAGGCCAGCCACACATCATCAGCATCATTTGCTCCAATGTTTAGCTGGAAAGTTCCAGGCCAGCCATACATCATCAACATAATTTGCTCCAAGTGTTTTTCTGCGAAGTTTCCAGAGAACAGGCCAGCCACGCGTCGTCAGCATACTTTGCTCCAAGTTTTTCTGAAAACCTCCCAGAGATCAGGCCAGCCACGCATCATCAGCATCAGTCACACTTCATGGAGTGAGCGAGCCAAGCCAGGCCACATCATTAGCATCATTTTATCCAAAGTTTTTTGGCAAGCCTCCACAGACCATGCTAGCATCATTTACTGCATAAAAATTCCAGAGACAAACCCAGGCAAGCATTTTCGGCATCCTCAAACAATGCATCATCAGCATCATTTGGCTAAAGCTTCTTCTCGAATACCTGCAGTAATCGCAAGTACCCGGAAAAAAGCCGTAAACCTTGACCGCAGCAGAGATGGTGCAAAGCAGTGCAGGGAAAGATTGGCTTTGACATGAGTGCTGCAAGCTTGAAGGTTGAGCGAAGAACGGGCGAGATGCAAGAGGAGTTGATTACCGGCCTTGGCCGGAAGGCACCAAGCATGCTGTGATGCTAGATTGGTTCTCCTTGCTGCTGCTTGCAGAAGATCACTAGCAGCATCAACACTACCATGAGTCATCGTGGTCGGTGGTTGCATGTATGTATGTATGTATATATATATATATATATTGTCGCATAAGGCCACTTTGCTTTCCCTTCTGTTGGCCGTAAACGTCTGGGGCTCCCAAAGCGCGCGGACCCTTTGAACACCAGAGACTTCTTGAAAAAGCCAAAGAACCCTTGGCAAAAGGCCAACACCCCGCCAATCCCTGAAGTACATGAACCAAGCCTGCGAGGCCTCAACTGACGAATTTTGCCCTGCAGAGGCAGACTTGTCAGATCTACGCGACACTCAGGCTTCCCAGGCCGAAGAGGCCCGATTTTCCGGCTGCGTTTCCGATCCAAGCGCTTTGAGCATACTCTGCATGCCCGATTTCACGTTTGATCAGAACCCTGATGACCTCTGCCAGATTCTGAGTTTACATCTTGGTTGCATTCGTCACCCCTCCCGTCTGTACTTCAGACGCAATGCCTCGCCGAAACGCAGCGGCAGGCGAACGAGGAGGTCCAGGCATCAACGAAAACATGCTTTCGGCGTTGAGCTAGGGCTAGGAATCCGAGTCGTTCGGATGGCAGTGTTCGCCGAGTGGCGAGAGTCGCGCCAAAGGACCCGAATACACTACCTACTGTACCGGTATGTATAAGATGAACCCTGTGAAGTTCATTGCCGCTTTTACACCCAATCTTCGGCCGGAAGTATAGGAAGATGAGAAGAAGCATGTACGTTGCTGCCTGAATGACAACAGGAGCCCAACCTCACTAAACTAGTCACGTAGGAGGTAGAAGCCTGTGGAGCTCGAGCAGCGAGTTGTGGCAAGCCATGTGAACCGCCCAATCTCAGACAGAGGCCCTTCGTGCTGCTATAGTGGATCTCCGTGCAGCCATTGAGAAGCCAAGAACTTGGAATGCCAGGGACAGATGCGTTTAGCATTCTGAAGTTGCAGGTGACCACTTGGGTGGGGGCATGTCAGCTCCAAGCAGAGACGGGCACCTGCTCTCGACCCACGCCTATAGATCCTACAGTCTCTGAACTGGGCCCACACCCTTCATGCTCAGACCTCCACTTGTCTAAGGCAGCGTGCCGATGTACAGCAGTGGCGAGCTGGATTTGAGGCTGGATTTCCAGAGTCTTGTGGGTTTCATCCTGATGTTCTACCAAACCTTCGCGCCGAAACTACACTGAGTTTGATGGCTTAGAAAGTGTGACTGGATGGTGGGGTTCGGTTGTCAGTCACCCGCGCCGTAGAATCGTCGGAATGCTTTTCGTTTGCTCAGCTCGTGAAGACAATCAGACAAGCAGGCCGATTCAGCCCTATGGCCTTTTGCTTCAGCTTCGACCCACAGACTCAAACTCCCGACTCCGGGGATCTGCTCCCACCGCTCTCTTGGAGTTTATCTACGACCACCGGCGCCCGGAGCTCGAAACCGTCAACCACCGACGCCCCATGGCGAACCCGATCCGTCAAAGAATAGAGGTCTAGGCAGACGCCTACCGATAGTCTCAAACTAGAAGTCCTTATATAACCTTGAAGGTTGGAGTTCCATTTTCACTCTCGCATCGGCCCTGCAGGTTCGTCGCGAGACTCAGCCAATGTCAGTCAAAGCCGTGAAACTGCAAATCCTTGACACTTACTCAGAACCCACGCTTCCGATTGCTAGGCAGGAGTCCTGCGAACCGAGTTACCCCCTTACTGGATGTCGAAGCCGCCTGGCTTGGAGGGTCCGAGTTGTCAAACTACTACACCCAGAGGCCTGAATAGCCAGCTTCATCATGAGAACGCTAGAACTCGGAATAATGAATCAATGAATTAGGTGCTGACAAATTGATTGAAGTGAGCATGATGTATTCCGAGGTTTAGTTTTGAGAAGGCCCGAACCATAGAAAGCTTGCGTTCTCCAGCACGTTCGTGCCCAGCGCACCCTACGTTGTCACACTTCAAAGCCCAGGCCAGAGTTGCACGCCCGATCCACGCTGGGACTTCAAAATCTAGTGGCCGGGAACTGTGCAATAGAACCACTCAAAAATCGAAGCCCTGATCGTAGTTACAGCAACCTGGAGACTCAGACAAGCCGTAGGACCACGCAGACCCACTACTGTAGAGGCTCGGGTGACGTCGTAAGCAAACAGTAGTTTTGCAAGTATCCTAGACCCTTTGCACCCTCTTTTAAGTGAGGAAACTGATAAACTCTAATTCCATAATTCAACAAATCCAACAGCATGCTGGCACAGGCGGGCCTCGCTCATGAGGTCCTCTGCCGGGCCGATGCATGGGGAGGGTTTGTCGGTTTTTGCGGCCTGGGCTTCATTTGAGCTTTGTTTTTTTGTTGCTCGCTTCTTTCATTATGAGTAGGCCTGGAAATAACAATCGTTTCAGCCGATCAAATTGGCACGGGACTGCGAACGAATAAAAACCCCAGCTCATTTCGGAGTGTTTGGGCTTGCGGGTTTAGGGAAGGCTCACACGGACAAGGTTTCTCACCTTGGGCCACCTCGCATGTCCAGCAAGAGAAGTCGCAGCTCACCAACAGCAGCTTGAGATGAACATGAGAAACCTCGGAAAATTCAACTCAACCCTTGCAGCTGCTTAAAAACTAGTGCTGACGATGTTTCCTTGTCCAGTTACAGTCGTCTTGGAACAGCCTTTGCTGCAGTTCTGACAGGTACAGGCCATCCAGCAGGAGATGAAGGAGCCTTCTGTCGCATGTCATGGCTAAGGGCAAAGGGTGCAAGTGAATTTGCATCTCGATTGCTGTGAAAAGTTGAGAAGGATAGCCATGAGATGAAAGACCCACGAGCAGAGTCAGGAGTCGTCGGTCAGCTGTGCAAACTGGTGAACACGCTTTGGTTTTCTGTCAGTCCTACAAGAATCCCAGAGGCTAGATCTATAGCTTTGATTAGGCTCCGCTATCAGATCTTCGGGCAGGAACAATATCAGTTGAGGTTGGGTGGGTGGAGTATTTCAACACTACCACATATCATTTGCCAGAGAAATTCGGTTTATGGTCGAGCTCAAGATCACACACGGACAAGGCAAGCCCAGCTTGTTCTGTTCGGAATGGATCAGACACGAAGTCGATGGAAGTCATGCTGATCCCTCCTGTGTCCTATGGTAGGTGCATCATGCGTTACATTCCGGCTTGTCAGTGCTGGGGACTGCTTAGCTAGACAACACGCAGGAGCTGGCTGCATCCGCGGAGGTGCTGCCAGCACATCATGGTCCATGGTCATGGAGGGGTAGCTGATTCGCCCAGACGTCCTTCAGCCATGGAGTAGGCATCGAGATAAAATGCTCTGAATCCGAGCCCCTCAGGGTTTGGACTTACTTTCAAAACTCTTCCAGACTTTCAGAGACTCCGAGAGCTGATGGAGTAAAGCTTGGGTGTGGCTGTGTGCGATCGCATGATCTCCCTTTGTTGTAGTGAGCAACTTGGACATGTGACGTGTGGTTGTTGTCGGTTTGGAGGAGCTTATACTGTCAAGATTTCAGCTGGACTGTTTGTGGAAGTTTGCGTTCTCTCCAGGTGGCAGATGGCTTAAGTTAAAGGTTACATTCTTTTGAGCGCGATCTTCGTGATGCAATCATAGCTTGCGCGCAGCTCGAGGTGGGACACCAGGTCTACTTACTCGAAGAACAAGCGCTGCCAGCTTCCAGCGGATCCAGCACACAGGCCTGAGATCCATCCCATGAGATCCACGACGTCATTGAAACTTCTGAAGCTCACCATCCCTGCTTGTATCCAACCTACAGGAAAACAAGGCACTCAATGATCCTGGCAAGTCCCGACAGTCATAACTTAGTTTTCTACTAAATACTCATTGCGTGGCGAACATCCTGGCCATGCAAGCGGCATACGCTGCGTAGCGGCCGGGCCTTCTGCCGCAATCTGACCCATGCCGGTTCCATCGACTCTGACCAAGGCTGCACCTCGACAGCACATGCGGAACGACCCTTGCACCGCTCCTTTGCCAGACACCACTCGCCACGCAGTAACACAAGACCTACATAGGCCATCAACTGGCACAGGGGCTGCCGACCAGCTGCAGCGTTTAGTTTGTTCAGTGCTCCTTTCCGGCAAGAGCAGGCACGTATCTATACCAGCAGAGCTGGGCACGACAGCTTGCCATGCTAACCTAGTAGGTAAACAGCGATTCGATTCCTAAGCTTGGATGCCAGGGGTCGTCTGCGCGAGGGCTCAGATCATATAAACAGGTCAAGGCCCAAGCCCCAGCGCCGAGAGAAGTCAAGGACAAGTTCCGGAACCTGCAGTTGCGGAGCATGCTTGATGAGCCAGAGGCGAAGCTGCACGACACCTGGGAAGCTTGCACTGTATTGAAATGTCTTTGATTGTGGTTGCGGATGCGGCGTCTCGCTGTCTGGATTTTGTAGTGCTGTACCGCCGCTCCAGCTTCACTAGTCTCTAAATAACCAGCGGCTCAGGCATGCAGGCTTTCTCTCTATTTGGAAATTGCAGTAAACTTTGTGGAAGACGAGGGTTGAGTAAAGTGTCGCGCTCCTGAGGCTAAAATGCTGGACAGCGGGCTTTGCCAAGGCTTCGCTGATGTCGTGGCCTTGGACAGCCAGAATAAGCGCCCATTGTGATTAGTGTGTCAGCCTTGGTTTTATAATTTTATGAGTTGCATGTCTACGTTAAGTGTTTCCGTTTGCAAACTTCGACACGTCGTGGCGAGGTTGGAATCCAACTGTCCTTGCCATCCAGTGCCGAAGCAGAGGAGCTCTTGCTGCAACCCGGACTCAACCCTCCCCGCGCTCGCGCCACAGACAGACCTTGTAATTAACCGGGTATGACTGGCAAACTTCAGGCACGGTGTCGAGCGGTTGGCAGAAGCCGTGCCAGCTGGAAAGAGTGGGGCCGCCTTCGCTGCTTTCTACAAGAGCTACTGGCCACACTTGTGCAGTAGTTGTGCATTTGTTTTTGACTGGGATTCAGGCTTTGTCTCGGAGATGTGTCCCAGAAGTGTTTTGGCTGCTCCTTCCCTGCAGTTGGCACGGCGCCACTCCTCTTCCAAGGCTTTGGGTGGGAAAACCCAGCTGAGTACTTCGCAGCGATGGGTGAGCACCAGGCGGGATGCCAGAGGAGTGTCAACCTGATTTCCTGAAACTTCCAGATTTCGAAAGCATTTTTTTCCCGGCCGGGGTTTGCAGAGACCTGAGTGTTCGCCCGTCAGCATGTCAGAAGTCCGGACCTTTTCAAGAGAGGACACTTCTCACACCTCCCGAACTGCATTTTTTAGTTGTTTGTTTGCCACCGGCTTCGACTCCTACGATAGCGAGGTGATGCTCGTGGATGTTGACCACAACGACTCGGATGATCGACTGGCCGTCATGCTGCTCGCGTGCCAGGCGTGAGGGGCATGGTTCCATTTGGGGATCTTGTGCAGATCTCGGAGGTGCTTGCTGCTTCTGACGCAATCGCCATGTCCTTTTCATCCCCACGCTATGTGTATGGAAGCCGACCAGCTGTCACTCGCGGGTGTCAAGACCGAGTCGGCCTCAGGATCTTTTGGACCCATTGGGTGAAAGCCACGGCTCTGGGACCCTGACGGTTGGGATTTAGGATTTTAGGCTGTGGTTTGAGAGTCTTGGGACCCCTGCTCCCCAGGTCGCTAGTGCCAATGCGGAGAGGCGGATCTCCACGCCTAGCGCCGCGTGCAAAGTCTACTTGGATTGCAGGCCTGGCATCTGAGCTTGCTATGCCGGCTATGACAATGGTAGGGTTGCTATGGTGTTCTGACGCACCGGATCTGAGATAGCATAGCCTCTGCAGGACGTACGAGCAGTCCGGCCTGACGTTCCTTCGGATGATTACGGCACGAGTTGTTCAAGGTAGAGAGTCTCTGCTTTCTGCTCGCTTGCAATGACGATTGACGAACCCAGTTCCATACTTGAGATGCATAGGCAGGCGACCTCTGTGTTGGAACCGACGATCCTGAGTGTGGAGATATCGGTGCACAAAGAATGCTCCACACGTCTTGTGTTCGAAGATGCAATGGCCGGTGTTGATGCATAAGTTCCATCATGCGACGGACCTGGTCTTCTACAATCGTCTCGGCAGCCCAGGCTCTGGCGAACGGTGCAGCTGGCAGCCAGGATTGGAGCCGTGACAGTTCAGCATGGAGTCGAAGTCGTGTCATCAGGCTCAATTGGCGTTCTCCTTGCAGCTCCTTCTTGCGTCCGCCGAGCTCCTATGGAGCCTGCAGGTTTCAATTAGGAATTATACTAGTTCTCCAGGATGTTGCCAGTTTGTCCTGTGTTAACCGCGGCGGCAGAAGATTTAGGTGGAGTTGTGGATTGTGGATTCAAGTTTTCCGCCCAGGTTGAATCCATTTTTCATCGCTTACAGCGACCGGAGGTTTGTTGCAGGTTTCACCATGCCCGTCAGCAAACGGGGAACGTGGAAAAGAGCATGGAAGAGTGAACTGAATCCGGAACCTTCTGCGTAGTGACAACATCACAAATTTTCCGCCTTGGCAAAGGCACAGTTATTCGCGATGTCCACGATGTCGGGTACGCACAAAACGTCAAGCAAATCCTGAATTGGGGAGTGTGTGGCGGGCCCAAGCCATGTCAACCTTGAATCCTCCGGCCCACCTCCGAAGCCAAAACCCTCGTATGTTGCCGCATATAGTATCGCATGGTCAACCAAAGCGTACCAATTAGGAGACCGGACGAAACTTCACAATAAGATAAACGAAGCGCAGACAGATGCGAGGCCGGTGGTCAGCGAACCTTCAGCTGCTCTCGACTTGATTGCGACGTACCTGAAGGTGAATCGCGCAGGGCTTCGAAACCGGCCCTCAAGAGCTCGCCACGAGAGTTTGAGTGTGAGCACCGAAGGCAGGCAAAGGTAAGCATGCATGGTGCCGATGACGAATTTTAACGAGATTGGGTGTGAAATTCCAGATCAGGCATTGCATCCTGGCCACGCTCAGTGTTTTGGAACCCTGTGCATGCTGATTCTACACATACATACTTACAGATCTATATCTGTAGTTGTTCAATATTTGTATCTAGAATATTCGCTATTTCTGTATCTCTACCTATATACCTATTTATTTATTTATTTATTTATATAAACACTCGTTTGCCTATAGAGGTCGCAAACCTCTTCGAATCACTGAATACTGCAGCTGCCGGCGCTGGTGATGCACTCCGCTCGGCGGCACAGGCCGGCACACCGGGCTTTGCCAAATCGGCCAAGAAGCTTCTTGGGATCCATTGCTTTTCAATTTATGTCTACACCTCTTCCATGGCAACTACGAACAAGAAGACATGTGCGGCTGCAAGTCTTACGGCAAGTTTCACAGTCCGAAGCTTAAGCCTACCACACCTCGAAACATCCCAAATCCCTGAAGCCCCAGCCCTGCTTTGAGGGCCAGGCAGGAAACCCCTCCAAAAACGAATGAAACCGACGCAGGGTTCCATCCGTGTTAGGGTTTTATGGAATCCTTAGCACACGAGCCGTTATTGCAACCCCTTAAGGGTCTCATGGCACCCTTAAGCTTACTTAAAGACCCTTCCGTACAGAGCCCCCGTAAAAGCCCTGAGGATCTCCGCGGCTTGGAAGTCTCAGCAGGTCGCCCTGTGACTGTTTGGATCCTGAGTGGCTTGCTGCTGGGACTGCAACTGCGAGAGTTCCAGGGTTTAGAGCTTAGAGCTTAGAGGGTTTACATTTTGGAGGGTTAGAGTTTTCAGTTGGTCCGTAGCAGTAGTAGCAAGGCTGGTCGCTGCTCTTGCTCTTGTCTGGTTGCAATGACTTGCCATTCTGTTGTCATGGGGAACTCGTGTCTCGGCGGAGGGCCTAGGCAGTCTCGTTCTGCAAGGTGTTGGTGGCGGGCAGATGTAGTTGGGCTGAACCAACCATTCATTTCGCTTCGCCCAACACCAGGTGTCGAGCCCAAGTAGACGACTTCGACTTTGCCCAGAAGAAGCTCGGGGTGGTGTTCACCTTTGTGGAGCTGCTTGGCGGTGCCATCAGAGCTTTCAGATGTCAGATGTTTTTCTGCCTTGGCCATAGGACGACGGCCCCAGACCCCAGACATCGCCAAGACCAGGAAGCTGACAAAACTTATGCTATTGTGGCACTTTGTGCAGGAAGATAGTCACTAGATGGTCAAGGATGTCGTGTTCAGGGCCTCAAAATCGCTTCTGCCAAGGCAGGCGCAACCTGCGTGGCAAAGTGTGAAGCTGCCGAGCGAATCTAGTGATCAATTGATGGGTTCTTTTCGGAGCAGGTGTAGGCATCGCCAGGTGATGATAGGTGCGCAGTAGTGCGCTTACAAGCGACTTACTTGAGCTGGATGTGATTCCGGGTCTACCGGATCATTTATGGACAATTCGGGCGAGGAAGCCCATCCGTTCCAATTACTAGCTACTTGGGAGTGCAGTGTCCACAAGTGTCTAGTTGTCCATTCAGGGGCCGATGTATCAGTTTGAGTTGGGAGAAGTCGCTTTTTGCGCAGTCAACTACACAAGCAGACAGATGACAAAGGATGCGTACACACCTTGCTTCTCAATGAAGGTGTAGGTTCCCGCAAGTTCCCGCGGCCTGAGTTTTGACGAGCTCCTTAGAAGCCCAAGCCGGGTTTTCGTTTGGTGGAATTTGCGAGGTTCTGCCCTGAAACCCATGACACGAACAGGCGGATCCTGTGCAGCCCTGCAGAAACCTGGAGAGACCGTGAATACTTGATTCGAAGCGCGAAAACCCGGCTACATATGGCAATGCCAAGGAAGAAAAGTCGGAGATCCAGCCGCCCTATGAGTTTCCACCCCCGACGGTGCCAGTGGGTTTTTCAGTACATTGGGACGATGGGCGAAGTTCAAGCTTTTGTAGGAACATGCACCTGTCGCCTTGTCGCTCATCTCTCGTTCGTGCTTGACATTAGTGTGCTTGGGCAGGATGGCGGCCTTCGATAGAAATTCAAACTTCAACCTTGGGCTTGTGAGACAAGGCGTTTGAATTAGCAAGCAGATATGAGCAGATTATCCGCGATGCTTCCTATGTGGCTTGCAGGTACAGTTTGGGTTGCTACCATTCTTTATGTTATGCAAGGTGGCTGGCAATACATGGTGCCATCCTGCTACAGGTAGTAGGGGAAGGAGGCAAGCAGTCACCTGACGAGGGCGCACATGCGTTTGGCCATAATAGGCCGGCGTTTGGAATCAGCTTTCCGCTTCCTTTGTTTGGAGATTCTAGGTTGGCACCCTTTGTGCCTTTCCTTCGTGTCAAGCAAAGCGCCGCTGCAGCCCTGGGCCGAAATCAAACCTTGCGCCGGGGAAGCCCAACGAGCCTTCGACCTTGGGTCGAACCGCCCCTAACTTTCATATTTTCGATGGACTGTCTGGAACCTCGGCCAAATTAGCCCCCAAACGCCACAAAAGCCATCATCATGCAAGATTAGACTGCAGGCCACTGCTGAATCCCGACAGCCAGAAATCTGGAAAGCCCATCAGGGTGACGAGTCGGGCTTCGGCGTGGAGCCCTCGAACATCCGATCCAGCGAGGACGTGGGACGGGGGAGCAGCGCCAGCTTTTCGGTTGCTTTTCCGGGTTTTTATTATTTGGAGCTCTTGAAGGCTCCTTATTTTGGGGCTCTTACAGGGGCTTTCTGGTTTTCGGGGTCAAGTGTGGCGTAAGGGCTTGAGGCGCAAAGGCTACGAACGAGCGAAGCTCTTCAGGACTAAAGCCCCGAAGCCGTTGGGTACGCCATGACCACAGGGAAAAACTGCCGTCTGTTGTAGGCATACTCGCAACAAAAATTACATATATATATATATATATTCCCAGAGCAACAACCCACACCTCATGCACCTTTGAGGAATTTAGTTCTCTTCAGTTTATGGCAGGCCTCCTACAGGGATACCCTCTTGAACTATGTGCGCTTTCAGCGGACGATTTCCGGAACCCCGGCCGCATGTGGCAGAGGTATTTATGTAGCGTCACATGTTGGGGTGTTTAAGATAAGACTTGCGCATAAATTGCGAATCGCAGAGAGGGAGCATGGGTGCAGGGTGTATACGGTGTCAGATTGCGGACTCTGTGAAGAGAAATTTGATAAGACTCATCTGCCTTTTTGCTTGTCCAATTGCCCGAGCGATACCCGAAAGTTGGTGGCTAGTGTCCTAGTCCACAATCCAGGATTCGGGGTTCGTAGCTCTGCACTACAGAGGTGTTTTGGGGCTGAATAGACACTGCCGACGAAAGCACTTTCCCCAGCTGGAAGTGACCTGATCAGACAGTTTGACTGAGCCTGACTATGCCCTGGGTTCGTACACACGTGTGTTCCACCAAGGGCCACCCTCTTGTTGTCTAGAAGCTCAGAATACTATGCTGTCGTTACGTAGAGTCCGTACATTCGACGAGCCCATGAACTGAACTGCTTTGGAGGTTATATGAAGCTTTGGGTAGCTTATATAGCCTACGCAATTGATGCGCTGTGAGGCGAAGCCATTTGAAGTTTCCAATGAACCCAAGCATACCGAAGCTTGACCACTGAACATCGAGGCCTGCACTCCCAGCCTCCGTAACCAAGAGCCTCCTCGCGTGATTCAAAAGTTAGCATCGACATTCCCCAAACGCACCTCGGCCGGGTTTTCGCGGCGACAGCGAGGAAACGGCGTTCCAATGCAGTACGCAACCTGGCTCCTCATAGCAGTATAGTTCTTACTTCAGCGTACTTCCAGGACGCCTGCATCTTTAGAACACTGTACACGCTGCCGCCACTTTGCCACTTAACAATGTGTAAAGGGGGTGTGTGTGTAGCCATCTAGGAATACATGTTTACAATGTACATTTGCATTGCAAGTGGTGTGTGCATCTGTTTGCATTGATAAACGTGCGCATGTTGTTGCTCTCTTTGTCTTCATGCTTGCACCGACCCAACTCTCCATTGATAGATCTACATTTTGGACAGACATTTTGACAGAGAGGCCTGTCGCCGATTTATCCATCGTCCTTTGAACTTATCAGTCTGCTGACCTGCGTAATCACGTGTATGGACTCCGAGCAGACATGCGCTTGCACACCATGGTTTTCGAGGTGCCACTCTGAACAAATCACGCACGTCGTGAGCTGCTTGCACAGTGGCAGCTGCCACGACCATGCATCAACTTGACACGTTCCGGACCACCTTCTTGGTTTCTTTCATTTCTCCAAGCTTGAAGGATGCTGTAGCCAAGCTTACGAGAACGTTTGAACTCAGGTATGTCCAGCCCTGGCGCGCAACGACGGCTTCATGCCCGTGCAGCCGGGTGCCACCATGCATAAAGTCTCTGGAAGGCCCTTCAATGTCATACCTGGGAGACTTGTCCACAGACAAGTTGTGTTCACCGGCATAGCCATCTATGGCAGCGTAAGGCTAGCAGAGCCGTCATGTGTTACGACCGAAGCCGATCGTTCTGCAAATCCCCCAGCCTAAGATCGTGAAGCATCTGAGTCAGGGAACTCCAGGCACAAATCCTCACAGGTTTCAGGGTGGAAAGCTGATCTGGCATGAGAGACGGGTTGTCCCAGAAGCTTTCACGAAGACTGTCGATCGATCCCGGGCATGCCACCAACAGACGGGCGTGCCACTCTGCAGGGCGCCCCACCCTGTTAGGCCAGGTGCTGTAAGCGAGAGAGAGAGAGAGAGAGAGAGATAGAGATAGACGTATACACACATATATATATATATAGACATAAATACTTATTATATTTACATACAAGTTACGTCGCTCTTTGTCTACATATGTCGGGGAACTCGTGAATTAGGGACACACGGACAGATCGGGTGTGAGGCATTCCACCTGTAGCTGGTCTTTCAAAAAAGCTTTCAACTCCAGTTAACCTGATAAGAAACTTGGAAGCCGGCGGGTATGAGGCCTATATATGAGATATGACAAAAGCTGCTGAGGAAAAGCTACGTGATCAAGAAGGCCCGCGATCCCAATCGGGCGCAACATGCCTTCGTGAACCTGCTCTCGGCTTGCAAGGCCACCGGCACAGCTTGTGGAATTCGGGGTCTACGGTTGTTCATAGTTGTTCAAGCACTTACTGTGTGTGATGAAGAGACGCCGGTGCCGGACCGGCCTCTTGCAGTTGTTTTCAAGCCACTGAACCACGTGTCTCAGTGTTCCATTCAGTTCCGGGAAGCGTAAAATCACACTCCAGCTGCAACAGAAAGAAAGTGATCCAGGACTTCGGGTGACTCTGCTTTTCTTGGCATTCCCTGCCTTAGACAATTGCGAGGTGTGATGGTGTCGAAGCATCTTGAGCTTTCAAGGCTTTGAGTCGGCGGGTTTCGGAATTTTGAATAATTTACACAGCCCCTTTCCCCAGCCATCGGCCCCCCCCCAACCACAAGTTACGTTGCAGCTTCAACGAGAAGTGCAGATTGGAACTCATATATCTCCCTTTTCTGTTGATCTCCCTTTTCTGTTCAGTTACGGCTTCGGAGTCTGGGGCTCAGGCTCTCCATCATATCTTCGCACTCACGCAGGCTCACGCCGCCGGCTCGCTCCACGATGAGCTGCATCTTGGCTCGCTCGGTGCTGCTCGAGCTTGGGGAATGTGAATCAAGGGTTCAAGCTGCGGAGATTTGCTGGCCGCTTCGACGCTTCGAGACCGCCTGTCCTGTAGCAGAACAGAGTGTTGCTGTGTAGTTTCATGGATTTGGCACCGCTACGGTCACCTCCCAGCATAGAGCCCAGGAGGAACATACTCGCAAAGAAAGATTCAACACCTTTATCCCGGCGACAGGGTGTGCGGCAGGATGTCGCCGCGTGTCTCATTTTGTGTTCGTCCTGCAAGGTGCATCGATAGTACCGACGACTTCGGCGCAGACAGGCAGTGTTATTTAGGTTGGGGTTAGGCATGTGGCATGGTATTTGCCTACTCGGGCTGCCGGTGACCCGTGAGTCTTTTTTCCCCTGAACGTCTGAACATCGAAGAATGCCGTGCCAGTGGTCGCTCCTATATAGGTCCTGACTTCCAGATGCAGTGCGGGATTCGCCCGGTCGCAGTCGTGAAGGATCAACATTGCTGAGTAACCGTTGCTTCTACATGTAGGTCCGTCCCCAATGCCTGCTTATAGAAATCTAATGTACAGAGCCTCATCGAGTGATCTGACGTAATGATGCCTCAGACTCGGCCGCAGCAGCTGCAAGGCAAGGATAAACACTGCAAATGCCAAACCTGGCATCCAGCTCCAACCCCCATAGACAACAGCCCTATACATATATTTGACAAACTGTACGGATGTTTACAAACGGCTGCAGCATACCGTCGGCAGATCAGCGTCTTTCCTTGGCTGTAGCTTCAAATGGGATTTCGACGGACAGATGTCAGGGGACCCTTGCCCTCCCCGCGAAGGCCGGAGCTTGCTGCTGTGGTCAAGTACGGCATCTTGCCCAACCTTAGATGATGTGTTGAGCACGGCAATGTTCGGCTGGGTATCGCCAAAAGTGAAGATCGAGTGCTAAGTGTTTTGCAGATGTGTGGCAGAAGGCGAACCTGATCCTGGAAGTTTGAGCCCGGCTTTTATCTAAGGCACCTTCATGGCCGATGCGATCCTTGTATGCCTGGCGGCACGGCCCAAGCGGCTGATGAAGAGCCAGGAAGCACTGAGGCACGGTAACCCTAGCGGCCTTTACGACCCCTAACCGCGAAGACGACAAACGGCCGTTACGTCCCCGACGATTTCTGGAAGCGCATCGCAACGCCCACGAAGGCACTAAGGATCCTGATAGTTCATACTTGTGGCCTCAAAAACGTGAATTGCCGCGCGGTCGTCGGGGCAGGCGTTTGGCCGTGATGCTGGTGCCGAAGCCTGGCGACTAGCTGCAAGAATCCTATTTGTGACCTGTTCAATCCTGGGGTGGCTGAGGGTCTTCGGAGGTTTTCTGATGAGTATAACATCACGGTCTTCAGCTCCTTAACCTTGCAGGCGTCAACCTCATCTAGTACTCGAAGCTCCACCCAGAGCAGATGCGACTCATCATCCTCTTCCGAGCTAGGCCTGCTTGCGTGTGGCAGGCCCCCAGTCACATCTTCCCGACCCTGTTTGAAGCGGCCAAGCCTTACACTTTGGGCGAGTGGCTGAACAAAAAGATCACCCGAAAAGCCCCATATAGGGTTTTGAACAAGCAAAAGCACTATCCCTACCCTGACAGCCCCTGTAGATATGTTATGCCCCAATTCCTTCTTCGAGCTATTCAGACCCTTAGATTGCGCTCTCTGAGGCCAAGAGGATGACATGGTGCTCACCTTTACCGTCTGATTTGTGGAGATGTTTAGCCGGCCGAGGCCTGACTCGGATGGACTTCAACCGCCAAACTCTGAACATGAATTCGTGCTTAGGGTTTTGGGTTTTGGGTTATTTGGGTGTTGGGTTTTGGGTTCTGGGTTTTGGGTTTTGGGTTTAGGTTAACGTTTTGATGAGGTTTTGGGAGTTTGATCCACTGTCTCGTGCCGTTGTTCGTTGCTCGGGCCGGAGGCAGACAGGCTTTTTACACTGACGGTTAAGCAGTGCCTGGCCCGAAACTTCCCGATCCTATCGGAAACATCAACTTCTAAACCAGTGGCAGCCCGGCCTGAGACGGAGACCCTGACCCCTGCTCGAAGTACAGCCGCCTTGAATCTGGCGTGCATTCGTGCCCAGACCTTATCCATGACAGTGTTATCGGGAGCCTGTGGACCTCTTAGACTGCCAGACCAGGCATCTCACACGTCATGCAGGGTAGTTGACAGTGTATCATGGCGTTGTATTGTATTTGTATGTAGCTGTTCCTGGCTTCACCTCGTTCCTTCGTCCTGCTGTCTTCTTTCCTGACATTTTCATCGTAAGCGTCGTATGCTGTCAAGGACTGTAGTAGAAACCGGCCGCCTGCAAACCGACAGATTGAGGAGAAGGCTCCATGCAAGCAGGAGGACCTGTGCTTCCCACAGAAAAGCGTCGCATGAGACAGGTCGTCGAGATCTGAGGCTGCTTCCGTGACTTCGGAGGGCAACCTGCCTGGAGCTGTAGGTCCTGAGAACACCCTATAATAGCTGCCTACTGTACGTGCAGACTGTTGCGAAGTTTCAGCGTGAAGCCATGTACTATTCCACACCTGGAGTTTCGACAGCAGCCTCGCGCCGAAACATGAGCAGGCAGCACGAGCCATCCTGCGATTAGAACTGCAACTGACCCAACTCGTTGTCCCATTCCACATGCCGCACTGATGATCGTTGCTTTTGCAGTAACCCCATTATGACCAAGGTCTTGTTCAAGCCTCCTGAAGGAACAAAAAACATTTCTACCTCTGAAACCCTGCAGCAGCCCCTGACCTTGGCAAGCCTCCACGTACTGAAACCGTATATAAGAAACTGCCAGGCGCTCTCATGTTCGGTTTGGGCCCCTGACTACGGCCGCTTCAGGCATTTCAGGCCCCCCTCTCCAGGTTTCACTGTGTCCAAAGCCACGGCAAGCGATGAAGAGCAACATGTGCTTTCAGCTGCTCTTCCTCCGTCTCGGGATCAGTTTTGGGCTCGAAGTACAAAGGCCGCACGAGAATCTATTAGTGCCGGTTCGCTGCGGCGTCCAATCTCCATGGTTCAATAGCATAAGCTGCGGTGGATTGGCATAGGTTGTTTCCTGACATTGTGGCAACTCTCACGATGGAGGAAGTGATTGCTTGGACTTGGGTCCAAGACGTCGAAGCCTGATGCAAACCGGAAAGGTGAGCATCCACAATGCCCTTCAAACACTGCGTGCAGCCAAAGGTTAGCTGAAAAGTCGCACTGCTGTTGCAGTAGTGTAGTGTTGTTTCTGGAGTTCGGTGCTGTCCTAAGCAAGGTGGGTTTGGATGCAGGTTGAGTCAGATTGTGCGAGAATGAAGTTTGTGAACAACCAGGGCACAGAGCTTTCACAATGTGTCAGCCCTTGAAGGTCAGAGTGGCTTGCTTACATGTACTGGCCCCGCCCGTCTCTCCTGCGAACATCCCCAACCCTTGCCGTACATACAAATATAAAAATCTTATATATATATATATACATATGTGTGTGTATGGGTAGTTCTCTACATTACGGGTCCCTTTCTAGGTCCCCAATATAGTATGGCACCCTCCCTTAAATTAAAAGAGACCTACTCTGGAGAATTACCCGTGTTTATATAGTATATTATGTGTGTGTATATATATATATATATATGTGCCTGTTTGTTTATTATATGTATATATCTATTTGTTCAACTCCTACCGGTCATACCGTCGCAGTCTTCGAGGATAAGCTCTGGTACCTGGTAGAGGAAATGCGAAGAGAAGATATCACAGAGTTCCAGCCAGGAGAAGGCCAATCCCACGCAACTCAAGGAGCCTGGGCTTAGGGAGTTCTTCGGCCGAATGTCCATAGCTGCCATAGCCTTCGAGCATTGCGCTCCCAAGTGCATTGCGGAGATGCCCAGAATTTCCAGCCTGAGCTTCGAAAGTCTTAGTCTGACGCACATGATGGTGCTAATGTTTACTGCTGCTGTCACGCCCAAACACTCTGCTGTTGGTGTCGTTGGTGATGGTGGGCGATAACTCATGCCGTTAAGCGCGTGGGAGTGGATGTGGCCGCTGTCGTAATCAGCAGCATCATTAGCAGATTAGCAGATTCAGGGTTGGCAGAGGGCAGCTGTGGCCATGATGTTTCAATTGTTCAATGGTGATATTGCTGTGCAGATGCTTTCCTCGTAGCCAGTACAGTAGTCAGTAGTCATGACTGCTAGCCCTCGCACTGGGTAAGCGCATGTGAGTGCTCTCATCAGCTGCAATAGTTGTACATAGTTATCTAAAGTGGTGTAGAGTGCCCCAGCTGGTGATGCCGGAGCTTTATTATCCTTCCTGAGCGAAGGAGATCGTTCGCGAGGCGACGTGCGGCTCGTGCACAGCTTGAATGATATTGAGTTTGGCGCATTTGGCGCACAAGACCTAGCATCGGCCCGGGCGGAGACATTCCACACGTCTTGCGCAGCTGCCGTTGCGAGGTTCGTGAAGTTTTGCAACGTGGTTACTGAAGTGATGCCCGTACTCAGGCAGCTTGCAAGAACTTGCTTTACATCCAGTTCCCGATGTTCTTCCCATCCGTTTGTTTATCAGTAGATCAGAACCGATAGTCTCACATCCTTACAGAGTCTTCATCGTGTATAAACCCCATACCCTGTACCTCCAACCGTAGAACCTACAGAGCCCCAGCCCTGCAGGCCTGGACGAAGGAGGAGGGCCACCTCGCTCGGCTGCACAAGCTTTGCGAGTCCAAGGCGATGGCGGGTGGAGTGCAGCTTGTCCGGGATCCATGTGCAGGGTCTTAGGACGGTCTTGGGGGTTTAGGGCTTCGGTCTAGGGTTTTCAAGTTGATTCGAAAGGGCCAGGGCTGTTGTTGCTGCACCGTACCACCTCCGGAATCAGAGGCTGGGCTGCCGGGTTTGCCTTCATGACTTGTCCAAAAGCAGCAGGATACCTTCATGACATGCCATGAGTCATGCCAGACTGATTTCAACAGACAGAAGCATGTCCAACATGACATGGCAATGTGCTGAGGAGGGTTTCGCTCAGACAGTCCGAGCCTGTGCTGAATTTTTTGAGGGGTACCTTGATCAACCGCAACGTGTCGCCAGGTTTCAGTGGCAGACTTTGCCTCTTTGGCGGCTGTTGCGGAGGGGAAGGTTGGCCTTTTTGTACTGTAAAGATTCCACGGCTACAGGGCATTGCCGAAGTCACAGCGAATCCAATTACATTGAGCCCCCCTTTCCGAGTTGTGAGAATGTAATTGTAGTTACATCGAGCCAAAAAGCTGCGAGAGTGCGGCGGCCATAGTTGCAACCGCAACATGGTACGGGAGCATGGGCTTCGATGGCCACAAAGGGCATGTCCGGTAATGGAGATCAGGGGCCTGCAGTGGGGCTTGAGGTGCGGTTACGGAGAGGGCAGCATATACTATGACACAGTGTGAACCTGTCCTGTTTCTTGCAGAACTGACTTTGCAGCCTGCTTCTGCGATTACATGGTGCGACAAGAACATAAGAACATGTTTGATTGCGAATTCTGTTTTGAAGCCGTAGCGTATGGTAACCCAGGGGTAACAGGTAACACTTGCCCACCGGTTCGTTATGACTTGGATGTTTTCTCCCGTTCGGGTGGTCTTCTTGTCTTCCGCAATACGTTGCATGGTGTCTGGTGATTTACACCTATAGAGTCGGGAAGAGGTTGCTGAGCTGCGGGATTTATACAGTTTTGGTTCCAGCACAGGAATTCCTATGCCCCCAAAGGTTCGGAGCATAATGCCGCAGTCACGACGTCCTTGGACAACGTAAGTACTTACCCTAAGGGGAACGGCAGCAACAACGATGATGCTGATGCTGAACCAGAAGCTGAACCGATAGACGGGCCCTGGCATATTTTGCGTTTGAACCTGAAGAATCTGGGTCGGCTGCGGTTGGGCTAGTCTCACATTCCATACATACAAAGCGAAACAGAGACAAAGCGGTGTTGCGTCATCGGCAGCTCAGCACTGGAATCGGCAGAAAAAGGGCTAGCAGGGCTCTGTGGAGGCATCCTTGGCTGACGTCGATGCAGCTGTTCAGAGACAGGTCAACAGGCCAGCGTCATGGACCTTTCGGTGCACTAGCCAGCATAGTTGAGGCAAGCTTCTCCCCTATACGGCTTGAATTTTAGAAGCTCCCGCGAGAACGTGGCCGGTGCGGTGCTTTACATTCACAAACTTGTTAAAGAGCTGGCTCCGCTTGGGTCTGCCATTTCTCGATGTTTTGGTCTGGAAGTTCTACATGCAACATTCATGAGTTTATGCTCGTGGCAGGCACATGGCACTGCCAAAACCATAGTGACAGCCGAAAGCACAAGGTTTCTCTCGCGAGGTCGACAAACAGAAGAACCTCTTCCTGACAGACAGGACGAAGAAACCGAGCATGTGAGCCGTAGGATCCAAGAAATCATCTGTCCAATAAACGAAACGCGTTTGCATTGCATGGGCTTACTAAAAGTGTATCAAGCAACTGAGCTGTTGAACCCACCTTTCTTAACAGCTTCTTAGATTCTTACAACTTATAAGCCCCAAACCTTGAAAGCCACGAGCAGGCGACTCCAATCCCTGGTTACGGACCAACAGCTCGTCAGCCGAGCCGACGCCGCCACCCAAGTGGGCTGAGGATTCGGGATTCTTCAGATTTTACCAGAATGATGCACATGCTTCGTGTGCATAACATATAGCCGTATAGGCATGCATGTATGTCGGCAGGCATG